CAAATGAGCAATCACATCGAAGGTTGGTCACAGTCTTTGAGGCCTGGAGGCAAAGCTAACAACGAGGGGCATGAATAGTGGCAGAGCTTCATTGGGACCAACCTCGCCCATGGCCCCCAGCTCACAACAAAATTTATGTATATCCCTTAGTATTAGGCCTATTTATCCACTAAAATTCATCCCAAAGTACTTATGTTTGGCCCCTCCACGATTTTGGCTCAAGCTCCGCCATTGGTCAAGAGGCCATCCCTACACGGCGAGCATGTCAGTAGTGAGAATCCTTTCGTGCAGCACCAACAAGGAGAAAATTTTGCACTTTCGGTCAACATGGGCGGACCAGATCTTGGAAGAGTCGAAGTTTGAGTGGGAGCCATGGAATTCTGTCGCGTAAGCCAAGGTCGAGGAGTACATTCCAGAAGTGGTTAGTTTCCAGCCAATGGAGGCATGCTGGTCCGAGATGAGTTGGGTATGTTGAATCCATCCCAACATGTGAACAAAGTCACCCAGTTGCACCATGATGGTAATGCATGCGATCACACAGATCCAGTTGTTGTTGTCAAACTCCTTCTAAACAAATCAATTCTTTCCAGTAGCAATCTTGAAAAGTTTTGGCCACACATGCTTAACTTGCTCATGATCACTCCAATTATCATGCTAGAATAAAGCCATGTCGCCATTGTCGGTGGTTATGATTGCAGAAGCCCGAAAAAGATCCATATTTGTATGTTCACATGGGAGCTATGAGCCCACCCATGGGTGGTTGAGGTCAGTCCACTGCGGCCAAGGCCATCAGAAGCACAATGCCCTACCAAATATGTCCATGTTGGCAATACCGAGGGCAGCAAGCATCTTTGGATGACACATGGTTTTCCAGCTCATAATAGAATGGCCCACCGTAACTTCTCACAGTCGTCCCACTGGTAGATATTACGCATGATCCTGTCCAACTTATTTAAGGCCCATTTAGGAAAATGAAGCGCCATGAGGTGATATATCATAGTTGCCAGTGTGGACATATTTAGCGATGATGATTCTCCAAGGGAGCAATAGATTTTCCCCTTTCCACCCAGCCAAAACCTAGTCGAGATCTTATCGAAGATGGATTTTAGCTCCATTCAATGAAGGGACAGAAGTGCAGAGGGAGGTATAGACACCAACTCAGCAATGAAGTGATCTTTGTCAAGAAAGCCGAGAGAAACATCATTCTATTCGATGTTAGCACATTCGATTAGGAAAAATCTCAAACCTCGCCAGATCAGCAACCAGCCCCACTCATCGCACCAAAGTAGTCATGGATAGCAGAAATGGAACGAACTTACTCCCTTTTAGGGTTAGTCTGATTTTTTGGTGAAGCTAGTTCTACCTCAACAACAGGATCTGCAAATGGATTTTCAACTTAACAGTCTCTGCTTCAATTTGTGATGAAAGGTCGACTAGTTTTCACCAAATATTCACAAATGGAGAATAGGTTGGCTTAGGTCTTGCCTACCCTAGTCTCGATCTGACAGAGTACCTTTATGAAGAAGTGTTGCATTTATGACAAATTCATGTTTGTCCAGAACCTCATCAAGCAGCTACATCGGTCGAACACTCTGGGCCTTTCCTCGGATTGGACAACTTTAAGGCCTTCGATTCTGTCCACTAGTCATACTTGCTCGAGGTTCTCCATGGCTTGAGTTTTGAGCAACATTGTAGGAACTCACTCTGCATGCCCCTGCCAACTTCATCTTCAAGGATCCTCATGAATAGCAACCCGATAAGCCTTTCGCCCATGCTCGGGGCCTATGACAGGGGCCCCTGCCATAGACCTGCTCCAGAAGCTTTTGTAGGTGGGCGTCCTTAAGCCAGTCGCACGCTCGCTCGACAATCTTCATGATCTCCCTTGCAAAATGGGATTGGCTAGGAAGGCTAAGCCTTGGTTTGGCGGTCACGGCTTCAATTCACGGTGGTATTCATTGATAGATAACCCCCTTCCCGCGAAACAGCAGCAACGTCCCCAACCCCGTAGTGTCGTCTTGTAAGTTAGTCATAGTGGAGAAGACAATGTATATGGACAGAAGCACAGAAGATGGAGATTGTTTAGGCAAGAATACAATGAAGAATACACGATCATATTTTTAAAATCTTGAATATTTTTTATTTCACAAACATTTTGTTTGAAATCATGATTTCTTTTGTAATATGCGAATAGTTTAAATTCACGAACATTTTATGATTTCCTGAACATTTTTAAATTCACAAACATTTTATGATTTTTCGATTTTAAAAAACTCATAAATTTTTAAAATTTGGATTTTTTTTGAAAATCCTAAATTAATTAAAACAAGAGAATAAAAACAGAAATGAGAAAAAAAGCAAAACACAAAAAGAGAAAAACAGGGAGCGTCACGCCCTGCAAAAAGGGCTGACCCATGAAGGCGAGGGGAGGATGAGGGGCGCTTGATATATAAGAGAGAAAAAGAGAAAAATAATGGTAGAAGAACCAGGGATCAAACCCCGGTCTTGCATGAGAAAGACTGAAGTCTCAGCCACTATGATGCATGTGTACTTGTGATAGTGACGAGGGTATCACACTATAAGCACCATTACTCGAGAAAAAAAAAATCAAATCCAATTGCTATCTTCGGCGTAGTGGGTAATTTGTGACAATTTCAGGGAGTAATTTTAGGACGGACGGGCTGAATCACTAATGAGTTTATTATTGGTATATAGATAGGATAAAGTTGAGCCGAAAGGTTTCAATCTCTACCTGATAATAAAGCACGTATCACTTCTGTTTGCCCGTCACGCCTTTTTGCAAAAAACCTCATAGTTTGACCCGCAGTCCATCTTTAAGTCAGGACAACTTATTTTTCTCACTTTACATAAAAACCCTTGACTTTTATACTAATCAACCCGAAGTTCAAATTCAAGTCACGACGAAATGTTTTCTGAATTTTGACATAAACCCCCTTAATATTTGTGTTAATCAACCCGCAGTCCATCTGGAATAATTATTTCTCAAACTAATAATATCTTTTAAACCCTAACTTCAATTTCAACATGTTATATATGAAATTTGATTAAAAAATGTGTAAAATCTAAATATGATATTACTTTTATCTATAAACTATTAAAAAATTGCTATTTAGGGTGGAACCTAAATCAATGGCGCATGATCCGTCATTCCTTCGTACCTACGTCGACTCGTATTGCAAATGAACATGTCACACACATTGCTCTGTGTTGCTTGGCAAGGAGTGAGTGAGGGAAATGATTACAATGAATCAATTACAATTCGTAGGCATGTTGTGCTTCCACCAGCTTCTCTCTTTGGTACATGTCCGATGATCGAAGACCCTACATACATGTTTTTATGGGCGAAATCCACACGCGTACTTACCAACGGACTACACAATTTTCTTTTTATAGTGAGTACACAAGTAATGTTTATATCATATAGCCATATACATACACTTATAAAATTCATGAACATCGAAAAAATCCAAACAATTCTTGTGATAGTCATGAACGATTAATATTGAAACGGATACATAGGTTCTTAATTTATGTTTTATCCGCTGCATGAGACGGTGGCACATATAAACTTTCTTCAATAGACTTAGTTTATATACTCGGCCTCCTTAGTGTTGAACGGCACCGGCCGATTGCTATCTGACTCTGGCTGTAGGTGCACGCCATCAATATTACAAGTCAGAACCAAAATTGAATCGAAATGAGAACAGTGGCTCGGATAAAAAAATTATTTACTCTCCCGTTGCAATGCACGGGCATGTTTGCTAATTCAAAATAAATTCATGAGGGTGCGATATCTGATTAAGATCCACCCAACGTGAAGAAATTGGTTAATCGGCACAAATATATGAATCTATACCTAATAATAAAGGGGCTATTGCTTAAGTTGCAAAATATTACCCACCAATGCCACCTATAAGTGATAAAAAAAATGTTTTACAGCGGGGAATCCCCCGCCTGGGCCGGCCCATGCTGTGAGGACCTCCTATACCACGCCCTGCGCGCTGGGAGAGGACGCAGAATGCCTGTTGTGGCCGGCCCAAGTCTGGGCGGCCTGTTTTTAAAATTTCGTTTCTTTTTTTCTATTTTAAATAATTTGGGACTTCAAAAAAGTTCCAAACATTAGAAAAAAGGAGAATTTTTAAATAAAGTTTAGTAAATCATAAAATGTTTGCAGATTCAATAAATGTCTGTGATTTAGTAAAAAGTATTTTCTTATTCATAAAATGTTCAAAAATTTGAAAACAAATGTTTGGAAAATCAACAAATGTTAATGATTTTTAAAAAAGTATGTTTATTATAATATATTTACGAAATTGAACAAAATTTCACCAATTCAAAAAATGTTCATGAATGGGTAAATATCATAAAATTCAAAAACTGTCCGTGATTTACAAAATACTTTATTCATTCCTAAAATGTTCTCTGATTCAATAAATGTCCATTAAATCGAAAAAATGTTCGTGAATTTTAAAAATAGTTCCACCAATTTCCATAAAAATATTCATCAATTCAGAAATGTTCGCCGAATAATGATTTTTTTTAAAAAGTGTTCACAATTTAGAGAAATTGTTTGCAAATATTATAAATTGTTCATGAATTCAAAAAATGTTCTTATTTTTAAAAAATAATCAAAAATTTGTAAACATGTTCACGAATTTTAAAAATGTTCATGATCTTAAGAAAATGTTTATGATTTCAATTTTTTCCAATGATTTCACGAAATTGAAAGTGATGGTTTATCTCAATGATGCACCAAAATGTGGTCAGTGCCATTGAAGATTATGAATGTTTTTTCCGTTGCAATGCAAAGACCCTTTTGCTAGTGAACTAATTAAGATGAATTTAGTTTTATTTCGTTATACAACGACAATGGTAGGAGTACAAATTAATGCAAGTGGCACGTACAAACAAAATAAAATGATTTTAGTTTCTTTCCCAGGGAATAATGATGCACGCGTGTAGTCATCACCCACCTAAAGAACAAGATGGGGATATTTCTCGTCGTCAAACCTATATTTGAACGACCTGTGCTTGATCATGAGGAGCTCCCCGCCGTCGCATCGCTCCACCTCCACGCCGGTGAGCACGGCGAGCTTGAACCTCTCTGACCACGATATGTCATTCCGAAATAGCCTGGCGACGCAGAACCGACCGCCATCGCCCAGGTGCACGAGGTGCGACTTAAGATTCCAGCTCCTGCGGGGCACCCTGAAGCTCTCCCACACGCCGCGCGCCGGCGCGGCGGCGGCGCCGCCCCCGGAGGCGTGCAGGTCCCACGCGGCGAGGAGGCTGCTGTCCACGGCCGGGAAGCTGAACCAGAGGCCGTGCTCCGGGGCGCACGCGGCGCGCCCTTGGAACGGCAGCGCCCGGTCGGTGAGCTTGCTCCACTCGCCGGTCACCGTGTGCATGGAGTAGGTCCCGTGGCCGCGCGCGGATGCCCAGATGTGCCAACCGTCGACCGGCGCCGCGTAGGCGCCGTACGCGTCGCCGCTCTGGTAGGGAGGCGGCGACGGCGGGTAGGTGTACCAGTGCCAGTCGTGCCGGCACGCGGGCTCACGGATTAACCCCCGGACGGGCGTCTCGTCCTCGCCGGCGGCGAGCGGCACGTCCTCGCGCTCGGGCGATGTGAGGTCGCGGACGGACTGCGAGGCGTCGTCGTAGAGGACGGCGCGGCCCGGGGTCCGAACTTCGAACCTGTACTGGAAATCGCGGCGCTCCGAGGCGACGATCTGGTCCTTGCGGCGGCCGGTGAGCGCGAAGTCCATATACACGTAGGGAGATGGGAAGGTCATGACGGGGCGCTCCAGTAGAGCCTTCTCCCCAGCAATCTCCGGCTCTCGCCACATCGCCCTCTCCCTCGCCCTCGCCGCTGCCGCCGCGGCCGCCGCCGCCTCCATGGTTGTCGCCGTCGCGCCCGAGGCTGCTGCCGCTGCCGCGCGCTCCGGTGAATCCTTGGGGTAGAAAAGGAGCGACGGGCCGATGCGGTGCAGCGTGTACGAGCGGGCACCCGGTACCCTGCCGTCCTGGAGCACCATGTACAGAAACCGCCGGCTCATCGTCGCTTTCTCCTCCTTATTTTTCGAGTGGGAAGACCTACCTCTCTCCTCCTCGATCCGCCGCTATGGTGGTGATCCTCAGACACCATGGCCCATGGGCCGCACGAGAACTTGCTAGGTTCAGTACAAGTACCCCTAAAAAAAGCAGAATGGTACAAGTTTATTATACTGTTAATAAAAAATTAAAAGTTAAAATCGGATACAAGCCCGGTCGTTCATCGCCATGTTTTTGGTTTATAAAGACATGCAAGAATATACGAGTGAGTAGGCAACACATAGAAATATCCAAATTAAATTACGACAGCACCATGCAAAAGCTATCCCAAAAACTAAAAATTGCATCGCTCTTAGGCCAATTGGCCAAATGATAAATACATTCTCATATATGTGTTTCTTGCAATGAGATCTTCAAAACTAAATCACACATGGATGTGTATTTCAGAAAAGCAACTTCTTGCAATAAGTTGTTGATATGAACATGCTTTTCTAGTACTCCCACGATCCATATTAATTATCGCTGATTTAGTACAACTTATGATCGGATGAATACAAACAATTAAGTCAATAATTATTTAAAATTAGGCCCCACATGTTTCTATTACATTTTTTGTGTTTCCTTCTACATTGCTTTGAAGAAACTAGTGCATACTCTATAAAGTTCAGAGAGACAGTTTTAGTTATATGCAAGCAGCTACATTCACGGAGGAAAAGGACAACATGAAAATGAGTGTGATGAAAAACCAGGTTTCTAATAAAAAAATTATTCTTCATACTAATTTGCATTTGTGAAACTAGTATGTTCTCTGAAAATTGTACGAAAGCAATTTTACGATATGCAAACATCTATATACAAAGACATTTGCCTTTTACCCTTGACTACTCACAACATATGGTGGGGTTATCAATTTCTGGTGGAAAAATATGTTTGTAGCGCAAATTTGATTTCCATAACACATTTAAAGAAAATACTGTCGCCCTTCGAAAACTTGAAAATGCGGATTTTAAGGACCATTTTAATGAGATGCATTCAACTATATACTAAAAGTTCGCTTGAGCTTTTAGTCCAAGCAATTCTTAGCTTATGGGGCCAACATGAAAAAACATATTTGTACCACAAAGTCATGTGACAAAGTTGATTTTTTTAAACAAATGTAGGAATACGTCAATATTGGATCTAGTTTTGAAGACCTTGTTACGAGGAGCATAACAGTGAACATGAAATTTGATTTGAACACTCGGATCGAAAGTAATTTATTTTTCAAATTTGTAATACATTGCAGTATGTCACTGGCATCATATATTTTTGTTTGAATGTGATAGCACGCTGATTTTCCTGCTGCATGTGAGAGACGCTATGTGCGCCAGGAAAGTGAAAAGTGCATGTGCACTTGTTTTTTTAGAACAAAGACGCCTGGGGCGTCCAGCTTTAAATTAATAAAGCCCAGCAACAAGCAGCATCCAACCGGTTCGACACGAAACAACAGGAAAGAAAGTGGCCGCAGCCAAAGTACGGTACATGCAACCAGCCGAAGCCTGAAAGATAAAGAAGACAAGCAACAGCTCGCAAACGGCTAGTCCAAAAGACAGCATCCGGCGGGAAGCTAGTGGCGGGCGCCAATCTGGATCAAACGAATCCGCTCCATAGCCTCCGTCATCCGGTCTGCGTCACGCCATTTTCACAACGGTGTCCATGTCTGAAGGAACAAGTGACATTTGAAAATAATGTTAGCAGGGTGAGATGGAAATCTGTGCTCAATAGTCAACTTGTTGCGAGTAGTCCAAAGGGCCCAGAGCAAAGCACCAATGCATCTCCAAAGCACACGACCAAAACCACCCCTATGAGCGACAAGAATCCCACGAAGATCCGAAGCCGAAAGCGGGTTCCAATTCTGATCAAACGCCTCCCGCACAGCACTCCAAGCAAAGCGGGCAAGGTGGCATTTGAAGAAGATGCGGTTGGCATCTTCGTGCTCTCCACAGAGCGCACAAGAGCCATCGGAAGGTCCGTTCCTAATAGCGATGTTGTTAGAGGAGGGAAGGCGGTCGCGAAACATTTGCCATAGGAAAATTTTGATCTTCAAGGGAATAGCGCTTTTCATAGCCCCCTAGCTATGTCCAGGGTTGGTCCCTCAGTCAGCTTGTTGTAAAGGGATTGGACTGAAAACTTCCCAGAGCTCGAGAGGGACCAAGAGACCGTGTCGGCCTCGTGACGGAGAACCACTCCATCCAAAGCAGCAACTAGCCTGTCCCAACAGGCCCGTTCGTGAGTGAGGAGAGGTCTTTTAAAGGTGACGGCGGGCGGGCTGGAACTAAGCGTGTCGGCCACGAGAATATCTACGTTAGTTGCTAATTGGTAGGCAGCGAATGGCTCCTCCACAAAGCTTCCGAACCAAGCCAATGGTCGAGCCAAAATCTCGTAGAGGTGCCATTATTAACGCTGAACTTGGCACCTAACGTGAAGGCTGGCATAACTTTCTGGACCCCATTCCAGAAAGGTGACCCCTTTGCCTTGGAGGTGAGGAAATTCCCATCAAGGAAGTATTTGGCGCGAAGGATATCCGCCCAAAGCCCTTGCTCGTTTTGAGAAAGTTTCCAAATCCACTTGGTGAGGAGCGCAACGTTCATGAGTTTGGAGTTTAGAATCCCAAGGCCACCAAATTTCTTTGGACGGCATAGCGCAATCCATTTGATCAAGTGGTACTTCTTTTTGGTCCTAGTTCCTTCCCAAAAGAACTTGGACCGGGGGGTGTCAAGCTTGGCGTGAACCCCATCAACCAGCAAGAACATGCCCATAGTGAACAAAGGTAAAGAAGAGAGGCTAGAATTAGTCAGGATCAACCTGGCAAGCGAGGAGAGGAAACGACCGCGCCAAGGGCTAACCCGGTTCGCCACCTTTTCGTACAGAGGTTCCCATTCAAGGATAGAAATGTGCTTATCCGAGATAGGGAGGCCCAAGTACTTAATTGGGAAGCTCCCTAGCTTGCAATTAAGCAGGTTGGCAATACAATCGGCGAGGAGAGAGTCCATCCCAATGGCAATCACCTCGCTCTTGAGGAAATTGATCTTAAGACCTGAGATGATCTCGAAAGAAAGGAGAATGAGTTTGATTGAATCTACAGTATGATCGTCAGGCTCGAAGAGCAACAAGGTGTCGTCTGCATATTGAAGGTGCGTGAGCCCACCAGGGATGAGGTGGGGAACAACTCCGCGGATGTGAACGGCGTCCTTAGCCTTGTGAACCATGGCTGAGAGGGCGTCCGTAACAAAGTTAAAGATCAGAGGCGAGGAGGGATCTCCCTGCATGAGGCCTCGTTTGTTGTGAAAGAAGTTCCCAACTTCTCTATTAATCGATACGACATTCTGGCCTCCCGATACCAGATGCATGATACGGTGAACAAAGCCTTGTTCGAATCCCTTCCAGATCAGGACCTCGCGAATGAACTCCCAGTTCACGTGGTCGTAAGCTTTCTCAAAGTCGAGCTTTAGGAGCACGGCCGGCTGCCGTGTGCGTTTAAGATCGTGGACAATCTCCTGCAACACTACCGGCCCTTCGAGAATGTTGTGGCCTTGGAGGAAACCAGACTGACTACGGTCGATCACGCTCTGCGCTACCGGGGCAAGTCTAGTCGCATAAGCCTTTGAGAAAATCTTGAATGGCACGTTAATAAGGGTGATGGAACGGTACTGCTTAATAGTGTTGGCCCCTTTAACTTTGGGTATGAGGATGATGACACCAAAGTTGAGGCACGAGACGTCTACCGTACCTAACGCGAAGCCATTGATAATCTCGTAAAAAATATCTTTGAGCGCAGGCAAAAGCGGCAAAAGAAAGCGACCGGCCAAGCATCCGGGCGAGGCGCTGTATCTGTCTTCATTGCTCCGATCGCTTCGTCAATCTCCTCCATGGAGAAAGACAGGGCCAAGGAATCGTTCTCGGCTTGCGACACTCGGGCATCTTCTCCCCAAAAGTCACCACAAAGTTGCAAGGGCTTCTCCTCCACTGTTCCCAACAAGTTAAGGAAGAAACCATAAATGTGAGACGAAATCTCGGCCTGACTAACAAGTTAAGTGCATCTAGGGATTTTATTTCTTCTATAATTGCTTCCCTAGCTCGTTTAGCTTCACTCCCATGGTTTGCACCCCACCCACGAAGGAAACCACGGAGAGCACAAGCCGCCGAAATCCAAGTGTCAAGGGGACCCCTGGAGCGGCCGTTCGCATCCCTTTCTAGCTCCTAGTGAGCAATGAGCATGGGGCCGAAGCCTTCTACCTCGAACCACCCCGTTTCAAAGTAGAAACGAGGGCTACGCTTGATCCGGTCCTCCCCAGAGGCCAAGATCAACGGAACATGATCCGACCCGATGCGCGTTTCCGCAACCAACATACACATGGGAAAGAGCACTTCCCAATCAGCTGTAACAAAGACACGTTCAAGTATGCTACGCACTGGGGAGAGTTGCTTGTTGGTCCACGTAAATCTAGCGCCAGTCCTAGCAATCTCTTGCAAGGCACAGTCCGCAATAGCATTATCACTACAAAAAAAAGACACATCCGTGACATTTTGGGCCGAACGAATTTTTTTCTGTCATACTTATGACACTTCTATGATGATAATTGTGACAAAACCTGGTATCATCATAGATGTGGTGGGCTCCTACTTCTATGAAAAAAAAATCATGACAGAAAATGGGCTTTTCGTCCTGGGTGGGACGGAGACGCAGCTGCATGATATTCTTTGGGCCGTCCATGATGGAAAAAACCATGGTAGAAGCGAGGGCGAGGAAAATTTTGGGGAGTTCTCGGTTACGGTGGGTGGTTGGGGGCCGAGCGATGCGCGTTTCTCTCGTACACGTAGGCGCGTCTGTGCGAGGCATTGGCTCTAACTAAACTCGAGCGAGGCGTTGGGCTCTAACTGAACCCGAGCAATTGCATTGCAGGCTATGCGTTACTGAACCCGAGCGATCGATCGATGGCTGTTAACTGAACCCGATCGAGCGATT